TCACCTTGAGGAGGGAGAATAAAGAGCAATCAACAAGCAGTTGTTATCTGAGAAGCTGAGCAGCAGCACAGTACCAGCCATCTTACAGGTAAATATAGTTCTATCGTCTTGAATCTTCCTCACTTGCATTTCTTACCCTGAAAATTATTCCAAGTTAATTCTGTTTTCTGCTGCCTCTAGTATTCTCCAATCTAGTGGGGATTTTATTCCCAATATGAATACACTAGATTCACTTATGCCTTTTTTTCCTGTTTTTAATTTTCTACTAGTTTCTTTACAAAATTCTAATACAAATTTGAACAAATTCTTTCAATTCCTCCATCACTGTACAACCCAATGATTAATCCCCCCTCCCCCTGCACATTCACATCCCCTCTGCTTCCAGCCTCTTCCACCCCTCTTGGAACTTTATACTCATTCTATAATAATAGCTTTATACAATATTTATCCTTGTGGGACTGAGTTAGTTCACTCAGCATAATGCTCTTCAGTCCCTTCCAAGTTAGGTAATCAACTTTTTTGAAGAAGTGCCAAGCTGCCTTCCAGAATGGTTGTACCATTTTATAATTCCACCAGCAATGTATAAGAGTTCCTTTCTTGCCACATCCTCTCCAACATCTATTACTTCTGCCCCTTTTTTACTTGAATTCTTATGTTTTTCTTCTTGATAGAAGTCCTATCATTCATTAGGTTCTAGCTCAAGCTCAGTCCAACACCTACTCTCACTGAAGTCCTACAGCTCTTGGTCCATATAACACAGTTCACATCTAAATTAGGTTCTACCTTTAATTGCCCATCTCACATTACACTGATTTTCCAGCTTCACTGTAAGATGTCTTGGAGCCTAAAATCACTTCTTGTTGTTGTTGTTGTTGTTAAGTGCCGTCGAGTCGCAGGCGACTCATAGCGACCTTATGGAGAGTCCTCAATGCTTGTGTGTCTTTCATCCTCTCTCCAGGTTCATAGGGTTTCCGGAGGCAAGCTATTACGGAAGTAGATGCCACTCCTCCTTCCAATAAAATCACTTATTCTATTAAATATTATTATACCTTGTGTGAGGCTATTCCTTTGAGGACATGATGATAGGAGGGTGGAGGGTCTGCAAAGGAGAGAAAGACCCTCAACCAGGTGGATTGATGTTGTGACTGCCACAGTGGGTTCTTGTGTGTCAGGAAGTGTAAGGATGACACAGGAGAGAATAAGATTCAGATCTTTTGTTCGTAGGGTTGCTATGAGTCTTACTCAATTCAACTGCCCCTAACAACAACATACCTTGTCATCAGAAAACACTAAACTCAAGCATATCTTAGTAGACAAAGTCTTATGATTTAGGACTATGTCAAGTCAGTCACTCCTTTGGAGTTGGAATTGACTCATAAATGACCCTCCAGTGGGTTTTCAGAGGCTATTGGTATCCACTTCCTAAACAACACGCCTCTGGAAACTATGAAAAAAGATGATAGTTATAGAAAGGTTACAGGTCTTTTATTCATGGGGTTGCTATGAGCCACCAAATCTCCCTCCCTGGGACCAGGTTATGGAGTCCTAAGTTAGCGTGAGTTCATGTCTCAATACTATCATTTACTAGCTATGACCTAGTTTTCCTGTCTGTAAAATGGAAAAGATAGTGGCAATAGTTACCATCTACTATGTTGTTATTGTTGTCAAGTCAAATATGACTCATAGCAATCCTCTGAACAACAGATCTGAACCCTGTCCTATCCTGTACCATCTTCATCATTCCGGACATGCTTGAGCCCATTGTTGCAGTCACTGTACCAATTCATCTGGTTGAGGAACTTCTTCTAAGTAAATTGGCACAAGTATCCCCCAGGTGATGAAATAAATCTGTTCCTAAGTGTGTCTTTAAGTCAAATATGTAGGTAAGTCGGAACCAAGGCTTCGAAATGATTATTGCCGGTAAGTTCCTGGGTTGCCAACATCTGATTTAAGACCTGACAAATCCTCCCTAAGCCCTTTTAAGGTATAGTAATTTAACCTTGCTTTGAAAAATCTACTCAAAACCCCTACTCAAAATTCTTCCTCACAATCACCTTCATTTGATGCATGTGCAGCACTGTCACCTTCTGTGGAACTCTGACACCTCAGAATGAAAAGGGCCAATTTTAGAGATTGGACTAATCAGGCCAATTGGTATTTTTTAGAGGAACTTCACTGGAAAGATCCTGAGGCAGTTTCTCCTAGCAAGAGGCTTCATCAATCCTCCTAAGGGTGATTTGACTGCCTGAGTAGGTCCTAGCTACTCTAGCTGCAAATCAAAATTCCCTGTTAAAGCCAGTTAGCTAAAGCCTCTCCTTGAAGATTCTGATCTATTAGCTCCTGAGTGGGCCCAAATGATCTATAACTTTAAAACTACTCACTGCCAACCCAAAGGCATGTAGTTCAAATCCACCAGCTGCCCCATGGGAGAAAGATGGGTAATCTGTGATTTACTGTCTCTGGAAACCTACCAGAGGTCAGCTATGGACTGGTTCTGAGCCGATGGTATACAAAGGCAACAACCACAATTATGAACCACTTCTCTAAAACTTAATTTAAAAAATTTTTTAAATTAACAAAAAAACAACTTAATCATGACATCAAAAACTTCCAGACCTCTGAGAAGCTATAGAAGACATGGTGTTGTTGATTTAACAAAAAGTAATTCATACTGCATTATTAAAGGTATTGTGCTTTCTCCCTTCTCATATTTCAGGAATTGACCTTGGTTTGTCTCACAGATTTGTTTTATCTTCTGGCACATCCCTTCACATCTTTGGTAGACTCTGCATAAGAATAAGGTAGGTCTCATCTGTTGGATCCGATCCGATGGTACACAACAAGAAATAAAAATAAGATCTGTCTCAAGATCCTTTAAGCTAGGGGTAAGTGTCAAAAGGAATTGCCATGATAGTCTTGGCCTCCTTAAATGAGATATCAGCTATTAATAACAAGTTGAATGATCCAAAGTTTCCAGTGTTCCCTACCTATTCTAAAGCACCTCTTCACTTGGTACCATTAGTCTCAATAACCTGGTCAACTTTTACACTTTTCTAGGTTGCTGGCTTAAATAAAGTTTAGATTATCTGTGCCTTACACATAGGTATTGCATTCTTCTCCATTATTGTTAATAATCTAAAGAATGTTAAAATAAAACATTACATAAAATATGGGATTATACTGGATTATACAGAAGCCTTTGTTTTCCAGAGATCCAACTCACTTCATAAGTGTTTATTACTCTAATCTAATTATTATTATGCAGTGAACGCGTAAAAAAAAAAAACAACTCCAGCTTTTTTGGCTGAAAGAACCAGAGTTTAAATGCTCTCAGGAAAATCCTACGTTTAATAGTCTATGTGCCTTTTGTCTATGCCTCAGGCGTGATGCAAAGCAGAATTTAAATGGGCTCCTCTAGGCATTTTTTCCATCCCTCCTGTTTATGCCCATGGGCTTTCATCTTCCCCCACTTCCTATTAAACTACACTGTCCCTGCTTTGGGGTAATTTCAGTTGCAGCTCTTTCTTCTGAAAAATGGGACAGTCCTTGAAGTGAATTTTTTCTAGGATAGCTAATGACAAACAGAGAGCCATAGGGAAAAGTAGGCCTCCTACTGGCAATAAATTCAACTGTTAACCTCAACGTTTGAGATGTTGTAACACTCTTAATCTCAGCAACCAGGAAATCAAAAGACTAATTGAATTGGGAAAATCTGCTGTCATGGACTTCTCCAGAGCGCTGAAGAGCAACAAGTCAGTCTAGATACAAAGGTGTGCCTAATCCAGGCCATAGTTTTCTCAATTACTTATTCTTCAGAGAATTGGACAATGACTAAGGATGACAGAAGAATCGATGCCTTTGAGTTGTGCTGCTGGAGAAGTGTCTTGAATATACCATGGACTGCCAAAAAACAAATAGGTCTGTCTGGGAGAGGGTGAAACCAAGTATCTCCTTAGAGGCTAGGATTTTGAAGCTCTGCCTCACTTACTTTGGGCCCATGGCCAGGAGAGATTGGTCCTTAGAGAAGGACATAATGCTCAGAAGGGTAGACGGACAGTGCAGGAGAGGGAGACCCTGGATGAGCTGAATTGATACAGTAACTGGGGCGATGGGTGTTGGTGTGTCAGAATTAGTGAGACTGGCTCAGGACAGGGAAGGGTTCAGAGCTGCTGTACATAGGGTTGCTATGCATCACAGGCAACTCAACCAATAACATTCTATGACAAGTTTGGAAGCAGGAGCGGCATCCACTTCCTAAACAACTTGCCTCCGGAAATTCTATGAACTTTGATAAATGTTGATAGTCGTAGAGGGGCTTCAGGCCTTTAGTTCATAAGGTCGCTATAAATCATGCTCAATGTGAAGACAACAACAACAACAAACAAACAAATCTTCATGCATTAGTAACTATAACTTTAGAATTTCAGACCAGCATTCTCAGATACTTATAAAGTGGCCTGAACTTAAGCATGGTATTGTGCCTTCTTCAGATCCCTTCTTCCCAAAATAACTCTACTGTTTAATCTAACACTTTGCATCCTTCTCTGACTCAGGCTCATTTAGCTAGATTCAGAGAAGGAATAAAAGGGAGCAATGCTGAACACTAAAGGAACCAGCTGCCCTCAGACCTGTTTTCTCCAAACACTAAATCTTACCACGTTAAGCTTCTTCCCCCAGAGCTATGAATTTCCCAAGGATCTCTGCCTTTTTATTTTAGCCTATTTAGGAAGAGAAGGCATCTTATTTAAAAACAACTTGTAAAACAGAAGATATGCCCAAATGTTAAATTTTGGTCTTCTGAGATGCAGAAGCAATACATTTTCTCTGTTACTAAACAACTGAGTCATTATTTTTTTCAAAACTTTCATAGGTAAAACTCAAAATACATACTACTTCTCCTTTGTGAATAGAAAACAGGCCTAGGTCAAGATTACTTAATGTTAAATATCAATATTTTCTTTATTAATTTATTGTTCCAGTTACCTAGGCTTCATGAAACCATGACACCAGAAGACTTAAGAGTATGTCCTTTTGATCCAAACCACAGGATACCAACCAAAAGGTTCCAGTACCACTTGGCATCCTGCAGAAAGGTAACTTGGCCTGATCAAAAAAAAAAAAAGAGAGAGAGAGCGAGAATAATTAGATGGAGAAAGCTCAGAATATAAGAGGCTAAATTCTGGGGGTGGGGGGAGCTTGATTTTGTTTAATAAGAACAAGCTCCTCATCATTCATAGCACTGTTAGTGTTTAACCGTAGAACATGGTATTTCTTCACCATTTCCAGGAAGACACAGAGAGGTATGATACAAGCCAAACTTAATAATCACTTAACAAGTACTTTTTCCTTCTAGAAGCATCCAGAGATGACTAAAAAGATGGCTAGCTGCAAATACAATGCTTGTCATATCATCCCATGTAAAAAGCTCAAAGAACATGAGGCTACCTGTGTAGATAGAATTGCTATAGAAGATGGTAAGATTCTTATTGGTCAAGTCCTGTTGCTTCCTATCGCCTCATATTTCACAGCTAGGGAAGTCTTAGTGAACTGAGGGATAAGGATCAAAAGGAAGTTTATACTGTGCTTTTATAACTTCGGATCTGCTTTCTTTCAGAGCTGTTTGATTTTCCAAAGATTGTTTCTACACTTTCGGAACCAAAAGATAAACTCTCTAATGCTGCTAATCAGATTCCTGACCCTGATGGCTGGAATGTAGGTGAGAGAGGCTGCAATGGTACAGAGTCAAAAATGAAAGCCTGGACTCTAAGTCTTTCATGTCTAATAAGTATCATAACCCAGTTCATTGTCGTTAAATTGATTCAGACTCATTGTAATCCTTCCTTGGGTTTCCTACATAGTAAATATCTACAGAAGTCAGCAGCCTATCTTTCTACCATAAAGCAATTAGTAGATCTGAACCACTAACATTTTTTTAACAACTGAACATGCAACACCATCACCCTAAATGATTCTTACTGCTTCACCCACAAAATCACATATCGAAACAATGAAAATAGAAAATCTGAGAATTTTACCCATCTCTGGAGAAACAGTCAAGTAAAAGGGATTCTAATATCAAAACTAATTTTTAACAGCTAAAAGATTGTTTTCAGACTACCAATATCTGGTCACTGTTCTATCCTTAGAAAATTTATCCGGTCTGGAGATGTAGCTCACCGGTGGAGCACGGTGGCTCACGTGCCGCGGCTTTCTGGTTCATGGTTCATTACCGCTACCAAGGGAAAATTTATCTTACATAGGACCGTTTCATATAAGGTCCATCAAGTTTTAAAAGAAACCTTGACATTTTTAGTTAGATCTACTTTAAGCTTGATTGCTCTCATCTCACAGAAAGTTATGTCTCAAACACATTGTCACAAAATTGTTTATTATCAAATAAAAATGTATACATGAAAAGTTAAAATAGCAAATTACATATTTTAGGATTAGTGTATGTGTATGTGTGTATATTTATAGTGCTAGCATCTTCAAGGTTTGGCAGCAGGAGCAGCATCTACTTCCTACACAACATGCCTCCAGAAATTTTATGAACTTTTATAAATGTCAATAGTTGTAAAGGGGCTTCAGGCACTTTGTTCATAGGGTCACTATGAGTCCTGCTCAACTTGAAGGCAGTCAACAACAGCATCTACAACAGATAGTCCATATTTTCAGTGTCTTTACACAACAAATTTTCTTGCTTAGAATCCCAAACTAAACAACTGGTGAGTGGTAGTGTTTCCTTTCATATTACAATTGTCACCGTGCATACTTGCTTCCAGAACTTCCTCAGAGGTACAATGGAAAAGACAAAGTTGCCTCTTAATCACCTCAGCCAGGAAGAGAAGACATCCACTCACATTCATTTGCAAGATCTAGTCTCATGACCTTACCTAAATGTAGAGCTAAGAACAGAGTAGTAGTAAAGCAGTACAGCCAATTCCTAGCAACATAACTATGTTGTTGTTGTCATGTGCCGCCAAGTCGTTTGCGACTCATAGCGACCCTACATACAACAGCCCTAAACTCTGCTCTATCCTGTGCCAATTGCACTGCCTCTGACACACCCATCCCAATTATCACAGTGACTGAATCAATCCACCTCATAGAGGGTCTTCCCCTCCTGCGCTGTCCCTCCACCCTCCCAAGCATGATGTCCCTCTCCAAGGACCTGTCCCTCCTTACAACATGTCCAACGACGAAGCCCCAGAATCCTTGCCTCCAAGGAGTAGCCTGGTTTAACCCTCTCCAGGATGAATCTGTTTGTTTTCTTGGTAGCCCACAGTACATTCAATACTCTTACTCTTCTCCAGCACCACAGCGCAAAGACATCAATTCTCCTTCTATCCTCCCTCGTCATTGTCCAACTCTCTGATGCATAACAAGTGGTTGCAAAGACAATGTCTCTGCTGCTAGTTAGCCATCTCTGTGACAATATAAAACATGTTTAGTATTTCTGTTAACTGTTCTTCCTTTCCTTCTTCCTAGATAACACACAACTATTTCCTCCATTTGTTCTTAAGGCTTTTGCTCCTAAAATGCTGGTTTGTGAAAGGTAAGTCAAAACAATTTTTTAGAAGATATTAGAAGAGTTAGAGTATCCATTAGCAGAGTTATTCACTGTGAATACACAAGAGGGAAAGGTACGAAAGAATTCCTTTTCAAAAGCTAATAAAAAATACTGTACTGTTCCAGTCATTTTAAGATAATCTTCAGCAAGATTTTACATATATGTTATATTGTTGATTCTCACATTCTGTTGAATTACCATTTTTTGGCATGCGAAAAAAATATGGACTTCTAGTAAAGTTGATTAGGTAGCTGTCTTCCAAAATTCTTGGCGTAAGTTATCGAGCATGTCCAGCATTGTATCTCTTTAATGAAAATACATCAGTTAATATCCCAATGATTCCTAGAGCCTTATTTTTTGCCTATGCCTTCACTACAGCTTGAACTTCTTCCTTTATCACCACCGGTTCCTGGTCATACATTACTTCTTGAAACAATTAAGTCAGCCAATTCTTTTTGGTACAATGACTATGCATTCCTTCTATCTTCTTTGATGCTCCCTGCATCGTTCAATAGTATGCCCATAAATTCCTTGCAGCTCAAGGCTTGACTTGGTTCTTTAGTTCTCTCAGTTCTTTGCACATTTCATTACCCTTTAAAATCTTCTGCTCAGCTCTTTTATTTCACCCTTTCTTCTCTCTGCTCTGGCTTCTCCATTCTAGTGCAAGTTTCAGAGTCTCATTCGACATTCATTTAGGTCATTTCTTTATTTCTTGTCTTTGAAAAGGCATTTTGCTTTCCTACAACTCATCTGGTAATTAATGTTTAGTATATCAAATCTATTCTTTAGATAGTTTTTAAATTCATCTGGGATAGACTCAAGGTCATATTTTGGTTCTTTTGAGAAAATTTGCTGTCAAAGACCTCTCCCCCTAAAGTACTAAAGAGCAATAATGTCAGTTTAAAGATTAAGATGTACCTGATCCGAGAGCCATGTTCTTTTCAATGGCCTCCCGCACATATATCAGTTAAACAATGAGTAAAGATGACAGAAGACTAATTGATGCTTTGAATTGTGGTATTAGAGAAGAGTACTGAATAATCCATTGAATATCTCAAAAGAGCAGACAATTCTATGTTAGAGGTGGTGCAACCAGGGTGCTCATTAGTGGCAAGGATGGTGAAACTTCATCTCACATACATTGGGCATGCTTTCAGGAGGGGGAGTCAATCTTTGGAAAAAGACATTATGCTGGTAAAGAATGAAAATCAGAAAAAAGAGAGAAGACTCTCAATAAGATGGATTTACACAGTGACTATAACACTGCAGTCAAGCACATGGAAGATGGTGAGGTGGGATAGTGCAAGGTTCAGAACTTTAACTAGTAGGGTCGCTGTGAGCCATAGGTGACTGAACGGCACAAAAAAAATTCTCAGTAACCCCAACTCTGACACTTGGTAAAATGTCAAATTTTTAAATAAAATAAAACAACCTCAATCTCCTAGAGTTGGTTATCTAAAACAATTTTCTAGTTTTGGTTTGCAATGAACTTTCCTTTTATGGTGATCTCCTACAGTGATTCAAGAGACCTAATGAAAAAGCCTACAGATGATAATAAACATTCCTAACAACTACATAAGTTTGGGAGAAAGGTAAAACAATTTTTTATCAAATGTTATCATTGTAACTAAACTTGCTAATGTGTTCTAAACCTTCAAGGATTCTTAAAAAAAAACATAAGCAAATCATATTCTTATCTAATCTAAGCCTCCCTCCCCCAACAACAGAATAGAGAAAGTCCTGATGGCAGTAGGTTCCATTTTGGAGGAAGGGTTGTTTACAGTTCTCTTTGACATACAATCAATGTACATCAATCTTAGATCTTCAACAAAAACATTTGCTCTCAAAACAATGTTCTGTTTTTTTTTAAACAAAACTTTATTGGTAATAGTTTTCAATTATATTTACCCAATGTTTTCTATCCATAGGTGAGAAAAGCTGACAAAGATGTTACAGATTAAAGAGCCAGTTGACTGAAGATTTGCTTCCTAAGCTTTTTTTTTTTAATTTTTAAGTGGGAAGAAATTTTAATTGTCAATTTTATACAACTGTTGTTGTTGGCATTTTAATGTTATTTATTTAAATAAAGAATATTTTTATGATAAGCTTTCATTTGTCTTTTCATTTGTTTTCATATAGTCATTTTTCAGCCAAAAGGCTAGATGGCTTATTTGACTATTTTCTTGGTTAAGAGAAATAGATTTAGCATGTAGGCCATAATGCTATTTCTTAATTAGATTCTTCATCTATAATTTTTTCTTGTTTCCAAGTCATTTATTAAATGACTTGTACATTGTATGAATAAGAGCTCAACCTTCATCAGTTGTTTTTATATACAAAACTTCATATATAACTTGTGTAAGCTGAGTTGCAATGTATTTAAAAATGTCTTTTGACTTTATAAGTCAGTTTACTCCCATCTTTTTTTAATAAAATTTTCTTTTCATTATTATTTTAATGAACATTTACAGAGAAGTTAGGTTTTCAATCATTCATTGTTGCATCTTTTACCCCCTTGCCTTCCTTTCTCCCTTCTCCAGCTCAATTTTTTTTAAACATTAATTCACTGTTGCACAATTACCTCTCACTGTCCTAGTCTTCTTTCCAATGATATATATCTCTTATTCTAGGCTGTTACTGTACGTATTATGACTAATCATACATTCATTTTAGACAGTTCTTTCTTTCATCTGTTCCAATACGATAGTCTTTATCTATCCACCCTTACCCTATTCTCCTCCCAACCCCTAATATCAGTCCTGCTTTCGAACAGTGGTGCTATGCAGTATTTGTCCTTTTGTGACTGAGTTACTTCACTCAGCATGATGTGTTCCAGGATCCCACATGCTGTGTAATGGCCAGAGCTGTGGCTGGGAATCAATGATGGACAGTTTACCTGCAAAAATATTCTTGGATCAGTTTAGTTAAATATGCTTTACTCTTTTCCATTTTCTGTTCATATTAAAGTCTTGTCCTTTGCCCTTTACTCATTCTAATCTCAGTTCTAGCTTTTTACTTTTAATAATTCATCTCTTAAATCTTTACCTCATTTAAGCTTCTGTCTTCTTCAGAGAGTTCTAATGCAGCAATGGCTGCAACAATGGGCTATGCTTCAAGCACAGCAGTAATACTGAGGATGGAGCAGGACAAGGCAGTGCTTCATTCTGTTGCTTGTAGGGTCACTATTAGTCAGAAATTACTCAATGAACCCTAAAAAAACAGTGTGGCAATTAGAAGTCCTGGCTGGTGAAACAATTAACACCCTCAACTACTTAAATCAGATTGGAGATTCAGGTTCAACAAGAACCAGACTAAAAGACTGATAACAAACTTCTGAAAAATCATTCATTGAAAACCCTATGAAATGTTTACTTGGCAAAATGGCAAACTAGGCAGACAGCAGCACAGACCATCTCCAATAAAGACATCCAAAAACAAAAATAACAGATACAGGTGGTAATCTTGGAACTCATTTCAAATTATTGTTACGTGCTGTCTAATCAACTCCAGCTTGTAGCGACCCTTTGTACAACAGCTCTGAACCCTGCTCTATCCTGAGCTAACTTCATTGTCTCTGACACACCTACCCCCATTACCCCAGTCACTGAGTCAATCCATCTCTCCAGGGTCTTCCTCTTATGCTGGTCCTTCACCCTTCCAAGCATGACTCTCTCCAAGGACTGGTCCCTCCTTGCAACATGCCCAAAGTATGTCACATGGAGTTTCAAAATCCTTGCATCCAAAGAATAGCCTGTTTTCACCCTCTCCAGGACAGACACATTTTTTCTCTTAGCAGTCCATGATATATTCAATACTCTTCTCCAGCACCATAAGTCAAAGGCATCAATTCTTCTATCATCATTATTCATTGTCCAGCTCTCTGTTGATAAATAAGTAACTCTAACACTAACTGAAGGAATAAACTGAGTAATAACACTAAGAGTGGAGAATTTTGTACAGACCTAGTACAGTGCAGCCATTTTGAATTATTGTAAGCAGCTTTCTGATGGGTTTCAGGAATTCAGCACCACAATAATGCCACACCAGAAGCTGACTGAAGACACAAAAGGTGTGATCCCTTCTGTTCCTCGAACTCTACTGGGGATCAAAGAAGAGGCTTTTCTTCCTCAACAACCTACTAAGTGATCAGCAATGTTCCCACCCCCCAGCCCTGTCCCAGCACCTCCTGAGGCCAGGCTTGTACCATTGGCTACCTGGCACTGAGGGCACACAGAATTCCACATTCAGAGACTCAGCCTCTACCATCAGGTACTGACAGAGTATGCCATGAGTGGGGGTGGGTGGAGGAGGTGTGTAAGGATAGTGCCTAACCTGCAGCCATCTCTGACTGGGGTCCTGTCTCAAGTCACCTCTCCAGTTAGCAGAATCTGCCTCTGACTAGGCACCCTGGTGGATTCCACACCCAGCACATACCACAGCACCATTTAGACCAATGCATTCTTGTAGTCTCTGCCTCTTGGACCCGGTTGAGTGCACTGTCCTTGGGCATCCTTGAGTCAGCTATGACTGTCTCAGTAGGTTTAGCATCAGTTGCAGGTAGTGCTCAAATGAAATGAGGAGGTGTATGAACTGCTCCTACTAGGACTGGGGGAGCAGGGGGGCGTGTCATTTGAATTGCTGCCCAACTACAATTTACCCAGTCTAGCACCCGAGTGGATCAGGCTCCAGAGGCATATCCACCCCCACATGCTTCCTACCTCCTCAGGCTGGCAGAGTGAGAAATTTCTGACTATGTGCCCTGCCTACACCTATTCTTTAGAGTGACAGAGACACCATCTCTGGCCAGGTGGACTAACCTAGATACCTCTGAGGCCAGCAGAAACACTGTCCCTCCCTTTCAGCAATCCCTAAGTCAGTGGAGATGTTGAAAAGACTTAGGCTTTCCCACACGTCCTCAGTCACCTCAGACAAGCAGAAAATTTACTCTGACTGGACACCCTAATCCAACCTTCTGCTAGATCAAT